CCGCACATACATGCCCCATCTTCAGCTATGTACCGTACCGGGTCAATTAAGGACCACAAACCAATTGAATAATAATAATAAAATGATGATAAAAAAAATTATTCAGAAAATCAGGAAACCAACCATAAAAATAAATTACTCAGAAAAACAAACCAAAAAATAAAATTTCAAGTGAATGCAATACGCTTCCGTAGTAAATAAATAAATATGTTGAGTTTAAAATTACAAACGTGAGGTTCGCAGGAGTGTTCGAGCGACTCGGGGATCATCTACTCAGTGCTTCCAGGAAGTTGAATCGAGCGCGGAGTGGCAGGATCGCAGATCGGATGAAAGGAGCTGTTCTTCAGGCAAAATGACTTTCAACCGGTTGTTGTCTCGAGCTGTCCTCGTCAGCAGAGGTAAGATGACCACACAACGGTAATGAATTCCTGGCTATGATTGTTAGAGACCTGTGTTTGACACTGATATTTACAACGTGAACGCCATGTTCAGTTTGGAGCCTGACCTTCGCCTAGCTTAGCTTAGCATTCTTGTAGCTCTGCAGTCACACAGTGCTGTGTTGCTAATGGCTAATATATTCTACTGTTAGTGTAGTTAAACAGGAAGCAGTAGTATTCCGTTTGACCCACGTAACGCCGTTCTGTCTGTCTGAGAGGTGAACAGGTTCATTCTGTCCTAAGTGACTTCCACAGCCTTCTGTCACCAACACTTACACTGTGTGGCTTACAGAGCACTCTGACCAACTCTAATAACTCCTTCTGCAGCACTGTTCAACTGGAATACAGCCACCTGAATCAAGTACCATACATGGGTTTATACATGGTACACACATTGCTCAGTTCCACTGAATGCAGTGTGTGGTTCTTCATGCTCTGTTTCTGGTTTCCAGTTGGATCCAGGTCTATGTTCACAAGCTCCAAGCCTGACTTCACCAACCCCAGCTGGTTCCGAGTGGGTCTTGCCTTTGGATCATCTGTTTTCATCTGGGGCCTGGTAAATGACCACATCATTTCACACACAACATTTTATTAAAGGTCCAGTGTGTGGTTGCAGATTGCAACTCACTCGCTTCACCCATCCATTTCCAAGGGAGAAACTATGGTGCCCGCAAAACGCACGAGAAACGCATCTACAGCTGCTGTGTAGTTTGTCCCTTCTTGGCTACTGTAGAAACATTGTAGTTCAACATGGTGGCTGTCACATAAGGCAACCTGCAGAGTCTCTAGATAAAATGTGTCATTCTAAGGTAACAAAAACACAAGGATTCTTATTTTCAGCTGATTATANNNNTGCCAACAGATCCTCCTCAATGTTACACACTGGACCTTAACATACATAATCTCTAAACTGATCATTTGTTGAAAGTGTTTCTTCTAGCCCCATGAGTTTCTCTTATACTTAATTATAATGCTGTTTGTCACATTTTAACTTTATCAAAACATTTGCAGCTTCTGACTTCAATAATATTCCGCTTAATTGTGCAACCCCACTCTGTTCATACACACCGAGCATGCTCTTCTTATCATTGACTAACCGAATGTATACATCTTATAGCGGATCATGTAGCAACCAGGCAAAGTTTGAGCACACAGCGTCTGGTCCACCGTGCAGCTCTTACTGTATAAGTGTCTGCCATTATTTCACCCAGGAGAGGGCAGCAGTGAGCAGCCAGCAGGTTTTATTTTAAAAACGTATTTCAAATTTTTAATGTTTGATTTTCAGTGCAGCTTGGTGAATCAGGACAAAGGACTGTATGCTGAATTTCAAGCAGTAAATAGGTGTTAAATGATCTAATACAATAGATATGTCTTTTAGAGTCTAAGCCATGTTAAAAGGTCAGATTTTTACATTTGCCATTTGGTGTGTAATTCTATTGCACTTATTTAGCTGTAAAATGTTATTTATTTAATTCCAACAAAAAGCTCTCACAAAGTCCTAAATGAATCCTTTTGAAAGCTGCAGTTCAAATTATGATGGCATGTGGTTGAATATCCCATATAATAATTACATCCTTTTTATTGGTTTATAGAGCTCGTAATGGTCTTAGTCTTACTCATCTATCAGATTTGCGTTCATTATGGGGCCCCTCCAGAACCCTCAGGTCTTCAGGTAGTGGCCTTTTATCGTCCCCAAAGCCAGAACAAAGAGCCACAGTGAGGCATCTTTTTATCACTACGCTCCTCTCTGGAACAGCCCTAATGAGGACCTGAAGGCAGCACACAGTGTGGACACTCAAGACTTTTAGTCAGATTTTTATTTACTTATCTGTTTGTCTATATATTTGTGTTTTTTAAATTATTATTTATTTGTTTATTTATCTGTTTTATCACTTTTTCCCTATCCTGTTTATTTTACAGATTCTTTCTGTATTTTTTTAAATACATGGAAATATTAGTAACATTACAAAAATAGTCTGTGAATTTACATGTCTGATGTAAAATAATGTGAGTGATCTGTAACTGTAAATAATCATTAAATGTCTGCTTATTTAAAGATTATTTCCCCCAGATATTAACTGTTTATTTAATAGACTGAAACTGTTAAATTCAAGTGTAATACTGTTAATACATTTCTAAAATGATGTAAAATTAGTGACAGCGGTAAAAAAAAGTATTTGTTCTGTAAGTTTACATAGATTGGTTTTTTAATTGACAGATATCTTGTATAATTATGCAAGTTTTCACAACAAGAATGTGTGAATAAATAAATGTTAGTTAAAAATTTGTTATCAGTGTATAAGCATTGGTAAACTAAAATACAAATCACCTGAAACAGCAATAATTACTGTTATTTCACAGATGGTGACTTTTATTACAGTTGTATAACTTTTAAAATTCAGATTAAAATAAGAAATATCTAATAACAAGTCAGATTATTTGTATTAAAGCAGTGTTTGCTGAATTTATAGGTCATTTAATTGTTTTCACGTGTGTGTATCCTAAACATTAAAAAGCCAAAGAGGAAACAACATTTGATGATTTATGAGTCAATCTTTGTTCTGTTATTTTACAGTATTTTTGGCGCCCCAGCTCCCACAGTATTACTGTTGTGTTGTTGTTGTTGTTGTTTTTTTTAACAGTGTAGGGTGTTTTAATGTGTAAAGCACTGCACTTCCACTTTGTTTGTATGAAAAGTGCTGTTCAAATAAAGTGTGACTGAATATGACGAATGTTCTGATGCAACCAATAACTTGCACTGTCTGTTTCACTCCTGCAGCTCTTCAAGCAGCACAGCACAGACGTACATGAGTACAAAGTGAGGAATGGCCTGGAATAACCCGCCACAGTGGTATGTGAGTGTCTGCTTGTTTAGATGATCCTAAAATTGAATATCAAATCAACTTATGTCATTATTGTGTCATCTGACACCTATATTGCCACATACACTGTCATCCGTGAAGATGTAAAATGTATAAATAGATGAACAAATTAAACATGATACTCTGTCCTTTCTTCATGCAGGAGGTGGTCTGGTCCTCTTCTAGGATGCACCTGTCTGTGCGCTTCTTTCTGTTTCCACTGTTCCTGGTTCCTCACCCTGAATTCTGTGTAAAATAAAAATGTATTATATGAAATATGCACGAGTCATGATCCATTTGTTCACATAAATTCACAGCTGCTGTGGTATTGACATTTACTGTACCACAAGTAGATTAGTATGTTAGAAATGTTTGATTTATTATTCTTAATGAGATGCATATTTACAATTCCAAACAGCTTTTCCAAAATATCACTGTATAAACATCTAGTTAAACTTGCCTCCGTTCGTTGTGTGCAGACGCAGATGTGCCGAACGATCTGGAAGGGACTCCTGCTTAGTTTCTCTGTTCCCAAAAAAAGGAATTCCCAGCACTCCCATGTCTACAGGCCTGTGCTTAACGTCACATGTCATGGGACCTTTAAGTGAGACTGGATTCTGCAGACAGACCTCTGGTATTTGAACTGCCTGGGACATTAATCTAACCTGCTTCACAGCATTACACCCACCTGGAGAAAGCCACAGACACCCGTTGAGCATCATGTTCTTGGACTTCTCCAGTGCCTTTGACACCGTCCAGCCTCTGCGGCTGGCAGAGAAGCTCTCTGTGAGCAGGTGGATCAAGGACTTTGTAGCCTTGTTTACGGACTACCTCACTTGGAGAGACCACAGTATGTCAGACTGTACAGCTGCTTTGTCTGACTTGGTGACAAGCAGCACTGGCAACCCAAGGAACTGTTCACCCTCTACACCTCAGATCTTCTGTTTCCAACTCCAGACGTGTGCCGCCTACAGAACGTTCTCTTAATGTAACCCTCCATTGTCGGCTGTATCACAGATAGATTAGGGAAGGAGGAGTACAGGGACCTGATGAGAGCTTCATTGGACCTCGTGCGACAGAAACCACTACAGCTCACACAGGAAAAACCAAATTAGAGCTGGTGGTGGCATTCCACCGCAGCAACTCCCCTTAATCGAAACCTGTGAGAGGTGCCCAGTTTGCGATTAGGGAGAGAGGGTAGAGATGGTGGACACCTACAAGTTCATGGTGTGACACTCAACAACAAACTGGACTGTGAAGGATCACACTTGAGGCTTCTCTACAGGAAAGACCAGAGCAGGCTGTTCTTCTGAGAAGGATCATGGTCCTTCAACGTGTGCACTCGGCTTAGATGTCTACCAGTCTGGTAGTGCCAGTTCCTCTTTTTGCCTGTGGTGTGCTGGGGGAGGAGGCATCAGGAACTTGTGGTGTCTCTCTACGTGAGCTGAGCAGCTCAGAGCACTTTCAGCCACAAGAACTGATCCCAGCCTCGAGTATCAAAGCGCTTTTGTAACGGCCATCAGAACTCCACAACGCCACAGCACCCAGTACCCCAACCCCGCTGACCCGCTGACTAATGACCGGTTTAACTCCAGCCTACAAACTTTTAGCACAAAAAATATTTATCTTAAGTTGCACACATTCAGTTTAGTTTTTTAGTCAAAGGCTAGTCAAAATATTTTGCACACCATGTTACGTGCATATTGCATAAAGTGTATATATTTTTTCATTTATAGTCCATTATTATTCTATTATATTTCTCTTTATTTTGTGATTCTTAATTGATGTACTTCTGTTCTCTTTTGCCAATATAAAAATTTTAACCCCTATGCTGTGTCGAATATGGAATTCTCCTATGGGGGATCAATAAAGGTACATCTTTATCTTCCTAATCCACTTTTACAACTTCCACTTTTCATCTTCGCAACCAACTGAATACCACTTGCCTTTCCAATGCGTGTAGGATATGTAGGGAGAAACTATGGTGCCGGAAAACTTCCTCAAAACTCAAGCTCATTCTAAGATAACAAAAACACAACGATTCTCATTTTCAAATGATTATACCACTAATGAAAAAATCTGTAATACAATTGGACCCTAAAATTACCCTACAGCATGTTTCTTATAAATACCTCTCCTGCTTCTTCTCCTTTATGGGCACTGATCACCCTCTATACATCATGTTGACTTTCATCATCCCCATACATAAGCACAGAAGGTCACTTTCAGACAAACATGGTGGACACCAATATTCTGAGTTCAGGCACAAATGTGTTGCTGCTGTACCGATTTTTTCATATTTACTGATGAACTGTTGTCCTCATTGTTAAGCTACGAGTACTGTATAACTGTCTTAGGTTATCTTAGTAAAACATTTCTAATCTAAAACATTTCACAGCAAATCATTTCTAAGAGGAACAGTTTGGTGCTCCTCTCTAATTAAGATGAGATGTCTTTACATAGTGATACCACAATTGATAATATCTTACAGTTGCAATTTGTTCAATAATGTCCTTTGTCTCTGTTCTTTTTGGGAAGTCAGCCTATCAGTGACCTGTGCAGTGCAGGAACACTGACACTCGATTTCTCTTGACCTCTGCAGGGCTGCTTGCCTGGTTCTGCCTCTTGGAAAAAATGAGTCGAGGACAGCAAACATTAAAAGGTCGACATGAAAAAACAGGCAATTTGGGTTAAAAAAAGACAAAGCTCATACCAAACCCTAAACCACTGGTTCAATTCCCAAACGATAAAAAGCTGGAATGCTAGGTGCTAATATCAGGGGCTATCCACAATTCTTCAGTGCAGTGAAGTCTGGTACACGGAAGACAAGATTATGAGTTTAATGCCAAAACAACATTTTAGCTGATAAATATTATTATGTGTTTACAGACTGGCCTCCGGGCTAAGTAAGCTGATTATTCCTGCTCGAAATAAAAAATATAAGCAATCTTTCTGAGAAATGTAAGAATCATTGTCTATAAATGTTCTGCCTCCTCAACCTGGGCCTTTTGTTCCCTGTATATGCAATGGGGCCACAGTAGGTGAACAAGTGTTAGCTTGTTTT